ATTTGGTAGATCAATTTCAAATTTCCAGGGATGATTCTGAGTATGAAAATCTAGAACAGATTAGTTTTTTGGCATTCTGGATAAATGTCAAGGGAGCCATTTTGGATTTTCTGTCCTCAAATCTTGTCTATAAAGTTTTGTTTACATGTTTTCTGGTTAACTGTGTGATGGATCAATTTCAAATTTTCAGGGGTGGTTCTTAGTATGAAAATCTAGAACTGACTTATTTTTGGCATTCTGGGTAAATTTTATGGTGGCCATTTTGGATTTTCCGTCCTCAAATTGTGTCGGTAAAGTCTTGTCTACTCATTTTTAGGATAACCATTTGACGGGATCACCCATAGGTGGGGACATTTTGTACACATTTGTGTTCTTGTAGAATACTTACATTTCTTGTTTGTGAGACTTCACACAAATTGTCATCTCAACTGTGTGCCAGTTTATGAAGAAACTTGAGATAAGCTGACCTAGACCATAAACAGATAGGTTAACTACAGTAAATTGCGATTTAGGTGCAGTTTTATGACCTACCTGTATGTGATTTTTACTCCGAGAGTACTACTTTTACCAGGATTGTGAGGAATTTACAAGAGAGTGCTGTTAGATTACTACCTGTGATATTGGAACAGGTCTAGGATCATATTCATCTGTTTTATATGGCAAAACTGACAAAATTACAAATGGAAAGTTTTCACATTATTGAACTTAGAGAGAAGAAGGTAAAGATCATGATTTAGGCTTACCCCAAATCATTACTGCATACTGACTGTGCATAAGACAACTTCTCCCTCCTATATTAGTTCATAGTCTGATAGTGACCATCCCACAAAGTGGTGTGCTTTATTTGTTCAAAGGGATGGACATTCCTGGCCAAACATTTCTATCCTGATATGATAGCTATAATCATATAAATACTTTTCATACTTTAATCCTGTTGCTGAGGGGTTCTACTGAAAATGTAAAAGTCATGGAATTTGACTTTCTCAACTTTTAGCACATACCCCAGGGTCCAAGAATATATGAGGTGCTTGTCTAGAAAATGGTCAGCGAAGTTTTAATTAGCTATTATAGTGGCGCCTTCTTTCCATTTTTTGACATAGGGGCACCTTGACATTTTATTTTTGCCTAGCTTAAGGCAGTGACGAATTAATATTATACAAATATTGAATTCTGTGGTGTTGAATATCTGTATTTATCCCACGATTAATGTGTTATCTGTACAATAACAGCTATTGATATTTCTGATATTATTGAAATCCGTGTGATATTTTCCAGAAAATCGTTTATCAAACTCATATGCGTGTGATATCGTTTATCTCACGCATATCCGTGTGATATCACATTTGCATTTGGCGCCACAATATTGTTCGAAATTAGGTCAGATAATTTATTCTCTTTTGAGAAAATAGGTCCGTTAATTTATTCTCTTTAGGTTTCATTGGTGTATTGAATTACGAGTGTGTATATAATTTGATTAGAAGGCTGCTTAATAACGATTAAAAATGGTATTCATGACGAACTATATCATATACAGAAAGTAGTGCATATTACTGCGCAGTGAGTAAAGTACAAATCAAAATGGCCGGTGCAAATTCGAAGAATTGGCGAATTGTAATCATGGGATAAACCCAATATCACATAATTTCTCGTGATATCATTTTATCGCCTCATAGATATCAAATATCAACACTCATTCGCTTCGCTCACTCGTGTTGATATTTGATATCAACTCGGCGATAAAAATGATATCACTCAAAATGATGCGATATTCTGTATATATTTCTGAAGGTGTATTCACCGCAGCCCGAAAGTCTTGTCTACGTGTTTTCAGGTGAACCGTTTGGTGGATCAATTTCAAATTTTCAGGGATGTTTCTTAGTATAAAAATCTAGATCTGATTAGTTTTTTGGCATTCTGGGTAAATGTCAAGGCAGCCATTTTGGATTTTCCATCCTAAAATCTTGTCTGTAAAGGCTTGTCTAGTCTACGCGTTTTCAGGTGAACGGTTTGGTATATCAATTTCAAATTTTCAGGGATGTTTCTTAGTATGAAAATGTAGAACTAATCAGTTTTTTGGCATTCTGGGTAAATGTCAAGGCAGCCATTTTGGATTTTCCGTCCTAAAATCTTGTCTGTAAAGTCTTGTCTACGCATTTCCAGGTGAACCGTTCTGTAGATCAATTTCAAATTTTCAGGGATGATTCTTAGTATGAAAATCTAGATCTGATTAGTTTTTTGGCATTTTGGATAAATGTCAAGGCAGCCATTTTGGATTTTCTGTCTTAAATCTTGTCTGTAAAGTCTTGTCTACGCGGCTTTAGGTGAACCGTTTGTTAGATCAATTTCAAATTTTCAGGGATGATTCTTAATATGAAAATCTACATCTGATTAGTTTTTTGGAATTCTGCGTCAATGTCAAGGCAGCCATTTTGGATTTTCCATCCTAAAATCTTCTCTATAAAATCTTGTTTACATGTTTTCTGGTTAACTGTGTGACAGATCAATTAAAAAATTTTAGGGGTGGTTCTTAGTTTGAAAATCTAGAACTGACTAAATTTTTGGCATTCTGGGTAAATTTTAAGGTGGCCATTTTGGATTTTCCATCCTCAAATTGTGTTGGTAAAGTCTTGTCTACTCATTTTCAGGATAACTATTTGACGGGATCACCCATTGGTGGGGACATTGTGTACACATTTGTGTTCTTGTTTTTATATATAATGTTCTATGTATGGTCGAAATATACACTTGACCAAAAATACAGCTTTCCAAAATCACTTGCCATACTGCATAGGCCCTTTCCAGGAATGATTCTTTGTATGAAAATCTCAAACTACTTAGTTTTTAGGTAGTCCTGCTAAATTAGATTTTTCTCTTAAAATCTTGTGCTTTCAACTGATTAGTGTAAGGCACTAACGATGAAAAATTTGCAGTATATAGGATCACCCATTGGTGGGGACATGTTGTACACATTTGTGTTCTTGTTTATGATATGAAATGCATTGTATTCTTAAATCTATTTTGATTGAAACTAAACTTAAATAATAAATAAGTGACATATTTTTGAAGACTTACAACTTGTACACGAGGTTTTTGACTTAGGCTATGATTTTAGGGCGTTTTCAGTTTTGAGTTTCCCTTCCTTGATGAAGCTTATACTAAATTAGTATTCTGTTGCTATTTACTTGCCTTGTCTTCCTGATTAAATGTGCATGATTTTCAATAATTTTTATCATACTCTTCTACCCTCCATACATCTTCCAGTTCAAGCCTTTTACATCATAAAATCATGGACTGTCGGTATACACAACAGCAATGGTTTTCGGTACAACACACATCGGTATAATGGTTTTATAATGAGGTGATCCTCTAGGAACAAGTCAATGAATGAGTAAGACTTTGACAAACTAAAAATACTAAGGACATCTAAGGCTTAAGACTAAAAGTTCATTTGACCATTGATGACCTATGATAGGGAAACACTTACATAATATATTAAGATATATAAGATATTTAAAGTGTCTAATAATCATAATGAACATATTACGATGTTACACAATGATAGTAGATGATATCAATTGTTGTTGTACACAAGTACCAAAAAGTGCCACACCCACTTTTCCCTAAAAGAAGTTGTGTGTGACTATGTTTGATAATATTATTGTTTCATGGGATCATCGTATCAACTTTTAGTGCTTTAATATGAATATTATTTCATATTAATACAACTTTTGACAAAGTACATGTAGCAGCCACAAAATCCAAACAGATTTGCAAATATTTCACTTTGACAACCAAAGGACACATTTGGGAGGGGGTCAAATTGAGAAGATTTAGAGATATAAATACTGTTTTTATGGTATATAAGTTAGAGATTAGAAATTTCTGGCACTGACTAACCATGGCATGCCCTACCCAATACAAAACAATGAATATCTGATATGCATTAGTATTCTTTTTATTGGGTGGTAATAAAGTACCCCCAAGGTTTTCTTAGGGTAGGGGTATAAATTGTCCTGAGGGCCTCTGTCACCCCTATATAAAGTCCAACTACCCAGAAAGTGTCCATCATAATCATACAGATTGTTTGAAATATGTTGGAATGTTGCCTTCCATGACAGGAAGGATGCATTTCTAGAGCACTTCTACAGAATGGGTCACAGTCTATTATCTTAAGCTATACAGTTATATAATATGGGACAATTCCACAGACAAATGCTTTAATGCTATCCAATGGGAAAACATTGAAATCTTTGGATTGATGATGAAAAAACGAGGATTTTCGGTACAAAACCCTAGTTACCACAGGATATCTCCATATGTCCCCTTTCAAATAAAAAAATACCCATTGAGAAAAGATATGACCGCATTTTCCGCCATCTATCCGAACTTTAAACAATTTTCAATAGATTTCAAACTTGAGACCACCATCACAAAAAGTCAAATATTTGAAGTGAACTAAATCATTTCATCATACTTTTTGTAAAATTATATACACTCAAGATAAGCAAAATAAAATATAAAATCTGTACATTTTCAATGGTGATTGCACTGATAAATCTTGATTTCAATCAACCATCATCCCAATTTTAAATTAGAATTTTTGTCTTCTGCCTTTTCACTAGCGCCCTCTGTGGAGTAACCCTATACCTTTTCACTTGTGCCATCTGTGGAGTAATCCCTATGCAAAGTAAATGAAGAGTCGATGACATCACTTCTTGAATGAAATCTTAAAAGATGACAGCCTACTGGAATTTAGCAAACATTTTTAAGTGATCAATAATTGACCATATCAAAACATTTTCCATGTTTGAAAGTATTGATATCGTTATAGTTACCATATTAGGAGAGAGGAATATACCTTTAATGCATGAAATTCAGTATTAGCCTAGTTTAATATTGTCTTACATTCTATTTTCAGATCAGAAAACCACATGCATTGAATTTAATGCATGAAATTCAGTATTAGCCTACTTTAATATTGTCTTACATTCTATTTTCAGATCAGAAAACTTATATCGTAAGTAAAACAATTTAACATTGGGTCCTTGAGGACTTTTTTAGTGTCTAAATCTCTAATTGGGCTCATATTTGCTTCCTGTTCAATCAGTTTGTATGTAAAAATGCTTAAATATATATACACAAATGCCAAAGGGAAGGGTGACTAAAAACTTTAAAGAAACCCAACAAGAAAAGCAAACTGTAAGTGTAAATCTGTCATAAGAAAAGTAGACTCTATATATCCCAAAACCATAATCTAACGTGAAAAGAAACAATGTCTAACATCCCCCTCCCCCCTCCAATCGAGAACCAATATCACAATCCAGGACCAGAACACCAAGGGACATTTCATTCATACTGAAGTCATTACAATACATGTTGAAGAAAAATTGAAAAAATTGATAGCCAATACTCATAACATCAAAAATAGTTATAGATACTAGTACTCATAAAATGTAGAGTATTCTCTGATCTTTGCGTATCGAACCAGTTCTACTTAACTATTTCATGGTATGCCACAGAATAGGTCCCATATTATACCCGTGGTAATCAGGAGATTTGCTAACTTATATTATATACATCTTCTATCTATACTCTTAAAACACTGACTATACTTTACTGTCATCAAGTCTCATTACATGTATTGTTTAAAATGTGTTTAAAACATGTGAGACGGAAATAAATTAATACATATACATATATATATTTCTCAATAAGTTCACTTCTTAAATCATTGCTCAATAAATATTCTACAGATTCAAACTTTTGTATTTCTATTAGTCAGTAATATGTTCATTGGAAGATTTTCATTTTTGTATTCGTTATTTATCTTTACATTCATTGTTCCAGAACCTAGACTAAAATGATGATTTAATTCTACTTTGAAATTAATTGAACTTATCAATTGTTTGGGGAACTATTTAATCAACTGAATATTTTATGTCGTCCTTAATCTCATATCATCTGCTCCTTTACACTGTCTGAATGTTTCAGCCTGATGGTTAGCGCGTAGCGCGTGTTTTCATTTTAACCCTATTCAAATGTTTCTTTCAATTTATGATACATATCTCAAGATATTTGCTTCTAAAATTTCAACTTGTGCACACTCACGCGGTACTAACTCACCGGGGCGTATCGAAACCAAAACGTCCCGCAAAACTGTTACCCTTTCTTTGGAAAATCAATGATTGTGAGTCTCACTGTACACTGTTTTTCTTCAAACTTGTTCCATTAAAACCTTTAAAACCTGTCACTCGAGACATTGTTTTTGAGTACAGAGTCACTCATTTTAGCGGCGTTTTGGTCCCTAGGTGTGAGAAGATGCAAATCTTCAGAGATTTTAACCAAAAGCCTCGATATGTTGCCAGTTCTTTTATTATTCTCACCTATATATGCTGCGTTTCATGTAATAAATATGTTGATGCAGCAATGGAGGGTTGTAATGGGAGTCCTTGCGCAGAATATGGGGGAGAGTGATAGAAGAACTGGCAAGATATCAAGAATTGTGGTTGAAATCTCTCTGTGAAGGTTTTAATGGAACAAGTTTGAGGAAAAACGGTGTAGTGTGAGACTCGAAATCATTGATTTTCCAAAGACAGGGTAGATTTGAAATTCAAATTAACGGTTTTGCGGGGCGTTTTGGTTTCGATACGAAAAGTTGAACTTTTCACTAATTCTCATTATCCCATCGAACGAAGTTCGGAGGGATATAGGGAACGCCTCCGTCCGTTCGTCCGTCCGTCCGTACGTACGTCTGTCCGTCCGTCCGTACGTACGTCCATCCGTCCGTACGTACGTCTGTCCGTCCGTCCGTCCGGGCAATAACTCAAATACCGTTGGCCCGATTTTATTCATATTTTGTATACATATACCCTATGGGGGTAGAAGTTCTGCTCGAAAGCCGATTTTCAAAATGGCCGCTCATTTAAAAATGGCGGCCATTTTAGTGCCGATTTTACAGTAATTTAGGTGCAATATGTAAAACTGTAATAGCAATATGTTTTAAATGTAAAAAAAATTATATAGGACATTAATAAAGCTAGAAATGTAGATATTAAAAAAGCACATGGCAGCCATCTTGAAAAATGGCGGCCATTTCTCATTATTTTACGATTTTTGCTGTAACTCGAAAAGTAGTGGAGCGATTTTGTTAATATTTGGTGTGTGAATACTATAAGCATGGCACACTGTCAAATGACACTTTTGGTAGAAGGTGGCCATTTTGAAAAATGGCGGGCATTTTGAAAAATGGCCGCCATTTTAACTTATTTTACTAAAACTCGAAAAGTAGTGGAGCGATTTTGTTCATATTTGGTATGTGAATACGTATAAGCATGGCACACTGTCTAATGACACTTTTGGTAGAGGACGGTCATTTTTTTCAAAATGGCCGCCATTTTAACGTATTTTACTATAACTCAAAAAGTAGTGGAGCGATTTTGTTCATATTCGGTATGTGAATACTGTAAGCATGGCACACTGTCTAATGACACTTTTGGTAGAAGGCGGCCATTTTGAAAAATGGCGGACATTTTGAAAAATGGCTGCCATTTTAACTTATTTTACTATAACTCGAAAAGTAGTGGAGCGATTTTGTTCATATTTGGTACGTGAATACGTATAAGCATGGCACACTGTCTAATGCCACTTTTGGTAGAAGGCGGCCATTTTAACGTATTTTACTATAACTCGAAAAGTAGTGGAGCGATTTTGTTCATATTTGGTATGTGAATACTATAAGCATGGCACACTGTCTAATGAGACTTTTAGTAGAAGGTGCCCCTTTTGAAAAATGTTCGATGGGATTCGCTACGCTTTGGCGTTGCCGTTGTTCTGGTTTACTACTGTATGCTAGAAAATTGAATAAAATTAGTGGAATATGGTCAGGAGAGGTCTTAAACATGTTAACATAATGCAAAGTGTTAATTGGTGGAAAGATTACTGATATAAAACCAACTAGAGAGTGAAACCATCTGGTAGGGGTGTAATAAGGATGATTTTGTTTGTGAAGCAGTTTCAGCATAGCATTGCAGCAGCTGCTTGATAAATGTTTTTTTGCACTTGACAAGTGAATGTCCAGTAGAGGGGCATTAACTTTGCTGTGGACCAATATCATATGCAAAGAAGTTAGTTTACACCTTCAGTTTACATCCAGTTTCCATCTGGAACATATTCTCAGATGACAAAAATGTTTATACCATTGTAGGTTAATAATTTTGACTATTGTCCACAACAATGTAGCCCGGCTACTATTGCACTACTGGCATTTGCCCTGCGCTAGACTGGAGCAAGTTTACACCGAGTTTTCGATGACCATTTTCACATGTCAATGAGCAACTGCTGAGGCCCGGGTATACAGTCATTAATAAAAAATCAGTCTTATTGTTATTAATAAAAAATCAGTCTTATTCAATGTAAGTAATATAGTAAAAGAGAGGTAGGTCACTTCAATCAGTAGGATCCCTAATCCAACTGTATTTCGTTCGCACTTGACGAAACCACAAAATTCTTTCGCCATGAAGGTCCAGGAATGATTTTCTTTGGTAATTTCTACAATCCTGACATCTTTCTTTTCTCATCGTAGTTAAAAACGCAAAGAAACACGCTTGCGAACTCTGCCAGGACACTTTTCCCAGGTCAAGAAGAAGTGAATTATTTCAACGCTTTTCATTGGCTTAGAAATGACCTCTACGTCATCAAGAGGTCAAGTTATTTATACCGGCCGCCATCTTTAAAATTCACTTACGAACTAAAACTTTTATGCAGATATGTTGATTCTTACGAATATCTTAGTTTTATACGACTTCTGTTTGAAAGAAAAAGATAAAATATACCAGGGATTGTCAATTAGGTTAAAAAAGATTGACACATTTGCAGAAAATGAGGGTAAAATCCCAATTTCATTTCCCGGGAAATTACGTAGCATCACAGTGTAATTAAATGAAAAATAAATATTGAAGACCCCTTTATTATTCAATCATATCTAAAAATACAAAAAAACATAAACATATTATTTCAGAATTTATTTACAACTAAAAATACCTAAAATGGAACTTTCAAATCCAAAATGAACAACCAATCAAAATGCAGTTCCGCCTTCATCTCTTAGTAATCATCCAAAGTGTCCTGGCAGACTTCGGTTGTTCATAACAATTTACCTTATACGTCGGTTGTTGTGATAAACTGTTCTTATTTCTTTGTTTAATTATTAAGTTTTATATGTTGACGAGGGTTTCCTGTAATGTTAAAGAAACATATGCTGTATGTACCAAGATACACTGATATGAACATAGTGACCCCTGGATTTTCTCGTGTAGAACACTATCGAAGTGAACTACCTCTCTATTAATATACATGTATACACCACACATTACCAACTCAGTACACTAGGGGACTTTTCAAACATTTTAAACATATTCCTGGGCCTCAGAGCAACTGTGTACACCTTATTTTGCATTGAGTTTACATCGAATTTACTTCTAGTTCACACTTTTTTGTTCCACATGCATTCACATTCATATTGATACCTCAACCTGTCCACTGTTCCATTGTAGGTATTGTAGACCAGGTAGGCCTAGATGTTTTTGGTCAGCTGCCCCAGAAAAAGCAGTTAGAGTGCATATGTCCTAACTGTAGTAGGAACTTGGCTGCTTCAAGATTTGCTCCACACCTAGAGAAATGTATGGGCATGGGCAGAAACAGCTCTAGAATTGCCAGTAGAAGGTGGGTACTTTAGCAAAGTTTCATAGAGATAGAGTAATACAGGGGCATCGGATCATATTTGAAAGGGGGGGTGCGTTTTCCAGAAAATATAGGTGGCGCAGGAAATATGGACGTGGCTGATGGGCGAGCAATTTGGGAGTCCGGGGGCATGTTCCCTTGGGAAATTTTTTTTGAAGACATTATTTGGTGCAATCTGAGCATTTTCAAGGACTATAAATAGTTCTTTTCGATTAAAACTAAATCGGTGTTTATACGATCTATCAGATTAACCCTAGATGTGCACTGAGCGAGTTTACTACGCTATTCTTCTCCAAATGTGATGGTTTTGATAGTTGATGGTGTTGTTAACGTTCATACAACATATTTTTACAAAATAAGTTAAATAGACACAATAATTAATGAAACAAAAATATTTTTAAACTTTTCATTTCAAAAATATTGACCAGAAGTTCGAAATTCATCACATTCATCATTTTGAATTAAATGAGAGAAATCGCGAGGAAAAATACTAATGCTGCGTATTGATTAAAATAATTAGCCTTCACTGATTGACGCTAACCCTAAATGCCAAGTACAAAAATATAATTTCCCGTCTTTAATAGCATTCATTCTGATTCCCTGCCTTTCCTCACATGAATATGACATAAAGTATCAAATCTAAAAACCACAGGTTTTACCGTAAACATATATGGTAGTTTGAAACGTTTATTCAATCCATTAGCGAATATTAGACCTAGAAAACTCAGTCTCTTGTGTGGAAGCGTAAACTTTTGAAAAACACAAACCATCACCATCAGCAGTTTTAATCACTTTTTACAAAAAACAGGACTTTAACCATTTTAAGAAAAATCCAAATTCAGTATTCCATAGACTAATGAACAAAATCCGTCAAAACCCAATTTATAACATATACATCCCTTTTACATAATAAAATTCCATCATAGATTCACATTAAAGTGATAAAATTTGATTTTCCAAAGGAGCACGTAGGTTATCGCAAACAATTTCAGAAGGTTATATCTTGGATTATGACTATTTTCTGACAATGAAGACAGGTTTATCTTTTAGATCAATTCATTATCTCAAAGAAAATTATATACAGTAATAATAAAGTCAAACAAACTAGGAGATATTTAACTTGCAATCAACCCATCAACACACTTTTTCAAAGATGTTGACCCCATTTTCACCAAAAATGCAATCAATTTTTACAATGTTTAATGCATTACTATTCTCTATTTTGATGTATCAAATAGTTCTTGAAAGAAAAACTTAATTGCTTTAAGATAAATGTTCCCCATGTTATTTCTCCATTGAAAAATCTCATGCTATCCATTGGTTTCAGTTCATTTTGGTCATTCAAATTCAGTATCTGTAAAGTCCCTGGAGCAATCAACTTTTACTTTTAGGAAATCAAACATGTCTCAAAGCACATTCTAATTATGCATTCAACAATATAATAAAAGGTTGCATTTTTGGTGAAAATTAGGTCAACATTTTTGAAAAAGTATGTTGATTGGCCCATTGCCCCTTCAATATTACTTAGGTCTGATTAACTAAATTATCAATATATATACTTTTCTTGAAGATAATGAATGGATCTTAAAGATACACACATGTTCATGATCAGAAAATAGTCATAATTCAAGTTAGAATCGTTTGAAATTGTTTGCAATAACCTACGTGCTCCTTTAGTATGTGAGCAAAGGTCATTCCACGTCCTTTTTAGAGGCGAGATAAGCGACATATATTTTCATGAACTATACGTGATACTTACCAAGAAAAATGATGTTGGCAATTCTGAATCCGCGACAGCGTTGCTATGGTAACCAAGTAAATATGCCACGCCCACTTTTAGGGGCTCTTTTCAGTATATGGCCCCTATCTCTGTCATTATTGCTTAGATTTAGATGAAATTCACACAGAATGTAAGGTGATGGATAATGCAATCAGGAAATATTGAGTTGGCAATTCTTAATCCGATAACGTGTTGCTATGCCCACTTTTCGGAGCTATTTTCAGTGTTTGGTCCCTAACTTTGTCATTATTGCTCAGATTTAGATGAAATTTGCACCAAATGGTCAGTATAATGCTTTTAACTAGTTTAGTTTATTATCCCACCGAACGAAGTTCGAGGGGGATATAGAAAAGCCGTCCGTCCGTTCGTCCGTCCGTTCGTCCGTCCGTCCGTTCGTGTGTCCGGGGAATAACTCAAATACCGGTTGACGGATTTCATTCAAATTTTATAGGCTTATGCCTTATGGGTGTAGGACCTCTGCTCGAGAAGGAATTTTCAATATGGCCGCTAAATCCAAAATGGCGGCCATTTTTCCGAAAAAATATAATCTTTGATAACTCAAATACTAGTGGATGGATTTGGTTTAAATTTTGTATGCTGTTGCCTGAGTACAAAGGAGCCTTGCCCAAGAAGACATTTTCAAGATGGCCGCCATATTTAAAAATGGCGGCCATTTTTCGGAAAAAATACAATCTTTGATAACTCAAATACTAGTGGATGGATTTGCTTCAGATTTTATATGCTGTTGCCTGGGTACAAAGGAGCCTTGCTCAAGAAGACATTTTCAAGATGGCCACCATATTTCAAAATGGCGGCCATTTTTCGTGAAAAAACGTTATGCTTGATAACTCAAATACCATCGAATGGATTTGGTTCAAATTTTACATGCTGATGCCTAGGGACATAGGAGCTCTGCTCGAGAAGGGATTTTTAAGATGGCTGCTAAATTTCAAAATGGCCGCCATTTTTCGTAAAAGAACGTAACCTTTGATAACTCAAATACCAGTTGATGGGTTTAGTTCTAATTCTATATGCTGATGCCTAGAGACAAACAAGTTCTACTCAAGAAAATATTTTCAAGATGGCCACTGAATTTCAAAATGGCCACCATTTTTCGTAAAAAAAAACGTAATCATTAATAACTGAAATACCAGTGGATGGATTTGGTTCCAATTTTATATGCTGATATTTAGGGGAAAAGGAGATCTGCTTCAGAAGAAATTTCAAAGGCATCAGCTGAATTTCAAAATGGCTGGCATTTTTCATAGAAAAAGTTAATCTTTGATAACTCAAATACCATTGGACGGATTTACTTCAAATTTTATATTCTGATGCCTAGAGATAAAGGAGTTCTGCTTGAGAAGAAATTTTCAAGGTGGCTGCTATTTATTGAAACCTTAGCCATTTTTCATTAAACATGTAATCCTTGATAACCCAAGTACCAGTTGACGGATTTTGATTAAATTGAATGTGCTGATGCCTTGGGACATAGGAGCTCTGCTAAGGAAGAAATTTAAAGATGACAGCTGAATTTCAAAATGGCAACCATGATTCATAAAAACATAATTTTGATAATTCAAATACCAGTATTGTTTTGTTCGGTGGGATTTGCTACTCCGTGGAGTTGCTGTTTTTCTAGTTTCTTTTAGTTGAGTTTATTAGTTTATTTTATTCATACATGTATGATCATGTAACATTGAATAACTATAATGAAAGTGTCCAATTCACACTGTTGCTTTGGTGACAGCATGTAACAAAACTATCTGCTGTAATCAAGAATTCTTTTGGAAATGTTACATTTTGACCAGTTGACTGACATGTATTCTTTTTAAAATTTGGTGACAGAAAATAATCCAATAACCATAGTTATTTAATTTGGATTGTGTTATATTATGATGTCATTATGGCAATTTTTAATCAGGGGCGCAGCCAGCTTTCCGTCAGAAGGGGGCTTGTGATCGTGGCACAGGCGGTGGCAACCCAAAAGTATTTATAAGTATTTATGACAAAAATTGATGCAACTTCCTTCAAAATTGAGCAAAAAGGTTCAAGTCAAAAGTCTTCTTTTATCTATGAGGGGTTGGTTATGAGGGGATGGTTGAGTCCAGCGCACCCATTAGGGTAACCATTAGGCGAATATCCTAGGTGAATCAGACAATACATGAATAATGTAGATTGGCTGACTGACATACTAAGTACCTGTTACGGTATCATAGCTGCTTTTTGTGATTATTTCTTGAAATATAGTAAAATTGCTCAAAATGATTTCACTGCAACAGACATATCCCATTAATTGCCTAAAAACACTTGACAAACATTTTACAAAACATGAAATGTAATAATAAATTTCACAAATCCCCAGGATTTAATTGACAATTTCGCAAAGATTAATTTTTGCGATTTTACCAGGCACGAAACTAAATCACAGACGAAAAATACCAGGAGTACAGTACCTGTTATGGTATCATAGCTACTTTTTGTGATTATCTCTTGAAATAAGGTAAAAATGCTCAAAATGATGTCCTTTGACATTCACCATAAAATGAGGTCAAAGCTGAAAACTATGATTGATTCCATTCCTTTACAAGTATGAAGTATGGAAGCCCCTGATTTCAGATATGCTTTTGGTTTTAAAATCCGACATCCGACCATTCGGTTCAAAATTGGTACAGTTATGTCTACATGACCTAAAAAGATGAAATAGGCTAAGGTATTGACTTATACCATAAAATGATATTATTTTTTTTATGTAAATTGACGTTGAACATATTTTTCTGATTTCAAAACCATTAGCAGCTAGCAGCTGGCATAATGCCACAATGGGTATGCCAGTCAGTCAATCTACATAATCCATGCATTGTCTGATTCTTTAGCTTCAATTTGGTGAATATTTCATATACACCCAAGCTGTAATCATGACAAAGATAGAAGCAAAACTTGGAAAAGCCCTGAACAGGGGGAATGGCATATTCACCTAGTTACCATAGCAACATCATATTGGATTAACATAAGCATTGCCAGGTGGTCTGATGGGTGCGCCCCCATAAACAAAAAAAATAGAACCATTAAATAGAAGAAGAGCTTTAAATCATTTTGCCTTGAAGCTTCTTGCTCAGTTTTGAAGGAAGTTGCATCAGTTTTTGTGAAATTCAAAACAAATCTTAAAAACATTTTTGGGTTGCTTATGCCACAATCTAACCCCCCCCCCCCCTCTCCTGACTGAATGCTGGCTGCACCCCTAATTAATAATTGCCATTGTGACATCATAATATAACACAATCCAAATTAAATGATTTTCTATAGTTATTTTCTGTCATCACATTTTAAAAATAATACATGTGTCTGTCAAATAGTCAAAATGTAAAATTTCCTAAAGAATTCTTTTAACATCAGATAGTTTTGCTATGTGCTGTAACCATAGCAACAGCATAAATTGGACACTTTCATTACATTTTTAGATTTATTCAGTTTTTACAACCATGCAAGTATGAATGAAATAAAATTATGAACTCAACTAAAAGAAATAAACTAATTAACTAGTTAAAAGCATTACTGACTATTTTAAAGACAAGAATTTATATATTATTATATATTATTAATCATAATGTATTATATAATACATTATGATTAAGATAAAATATGCAAGAACAAACAGTTATGGTGTCATAATCAATATGAAAATCATCCTATTTGCATAGTTTACTAACTGTCTGATCACTCTATCTATTACCTTTAATTTGGTGCAAACTTCATCTAAATCTGAGCAATAATGAAGAAGATAAGGGCCAAACACTGAAAAGAGCCCCTAAAAATGGGCTTGGCATATTTTCTTGGTTATCATAGCAACGGCGTCGCAGATTCAGAATTGCCCATAATATTTCTTGATCATACTTTATACATGTAAAGAAATAGAATGAACATCAATCGTTTTCAGCTTTGACCTACTTTTATGGTGAATATCATAGGACAAGGTACCAATTTGGAATCATCTTGAGCAATTTTACCTTATTTCAAGAAAATAATCACGAAAACTATGATAGTCATACCATAACAGGTATGCCAGTCTGTCAATCTACATTCCCCATGCATTGTCTGATTCTTTTGTTTCCATTTGATGAAAATGTCACATACACCAGAGCTATCATCATGACAACTGATAAAATCAAAACTGTGGAAAAGACCTGAAAAGTGGGGATGGCATATTCACCTGAATACCATAGCTAACATAAGCATAGTCAAGGAGTGTGATGGGGGAACCCCCCCCCCCCATTAACCAAAAAAATAGAACCATAAGAGAGAAGAAGAGCTTTAAAATGCTTTTGAGCTTCTAGCTCAATTTTGAAGGAATTTTTTTGTAAAATTCAAGACAAACTAAACATTTTTGAGTTGTAATGCCGAGATCGCACCCCCCCCCCCCTGATTGAAACATTTCCTAACGAATTATTTTTACAGCAGATAGTTTTGCAACATACTGTTACCATACCAACAGCTTGAATTGGATATTTTCATTACATTTTTTCAATTTATTATTACCATACATGTATGAATGAAATAAACTAATAAACTCAACGAAAAGAAATAAACTAATAACTACTTAAGAGCATGACTGACCATTTTAAAGACAATAATTTCCCCGATTTATACATCATGATTAAAATAAAATATGCAAGAACAAACGGCTATGACGTCATAATTAATATGCAAATTACCTTATTTGCATATTTTATAAACTGTTTCAGCGCTTGCATTAGGTTAGAAAATTTGTGAGTCCCAAGGACGCAATTTTTTTTAAAAAAGTGTGTCCTTTGAAAAAAATTGTGTCCCCTATTTCTAGCCTGTTTTGAGTAGGGCTGGCACGGAATGGAACGGAATCGTAACAACTATATATATTTAAGTTTGTTAAATACAAACATTAACACTATCTAACTGCCAGAACAAGTGACATAAATGTTCAAAACTAATGGCAAAATGTTAATGTCCTTGCCTTCTTGGCACCTTGGCATACAACTGTTACTGTATATTGTATATTGGCTTTCTTACAATAATTTTCTTTTCTTATAGGTACTGAATATATATAAAACAATCATACTTTATTTATTTCTATCATTCATTACATATAATGTAATGGACGCAATGGAAAAAAAATTGTGTCCCCTATTTCTAGCCTGTTTTGAGTAGGGCTGGCACGGATTACGCTATATATAGCGTAATCCGGCATAACTGCAAGACGTAAAATGCGGTACTGGTTCTAATTCAACATTTTGGTGATATATAATGAGTGAAACGGACTAGATATACCATTGAGAGACACTTAAGTTCCTAGGAAGGATATCACGTGGGGTTTGTGACAAACAGTAATCTAAACAGATCGTTTTTTAAAGATATTTTGATAAATTTGATATATATCCCTATTATCGCCCAAAAAATATTGAGAAAATATTGTGACGTTGCGTCATCTTACTATAAACTCTTTTCGTTCAGTGTAAATTGTTCGAAATTAATGTGAAAACCTTGTGACGTTGCGTCATCCTGCTATAAACTCTTCGTCCAGTGTAAAGAATTGTTTATGGTATTAAAATGGCAAAGAGATATAACCTGAGAACTAAAACCAATGAAGTATCAGATATTTTCGACGAATCGGACATTGATCCAGACTCTGAAAATGAACTGGGTTTGATAGATGCCATAAGAATGGCAGATAATAACCTCACGGACGAAATGAACACTACAGCAACAATTTCTCAATTGATCAATGCTAGTCATGATACGCCAATATCTCCGCGAGATCCATCTAGTTTCTTAGACAACATTCGTTTGAGAACAAAAGTTGAAGACATTGAATACAAAATGCAAAACAACCACGAGGAGATACTTGAACGCCTACTTAAACTTGAAAATCTCGAAAAAACATTTGCTGATTTAATGGATAAAGTAGTGGTTGATAAAGGAGCAGATTCGGTAATCAAAGAAAATGACAATTCAATAAAACAACTAATGAGGGAGAAAAAACTAGCAATGAATGAAAGTCTAGACAAGTCGAAACAACTGAGCACGCTACAAAGTGAGCTTAACCACCAGAGAGCTATTCTACAATCTAAAAACCAAGAGATTGAAGATCTTCATAAAATGATAAACATTTCGAACGAAAAAAGGTTTGCACTGGAGACGGAAAACAGATCGCTAAAAATCAAAGCTAGAGAACTTGACATAATAGAAAATAAGCTTAATAGTAAGAACCGAGAAATAGAAGAAATCACAGAACAAATCACGTCAAATAATGTGAAACTAGCAAAGGCCCAGGAAGAGATCAGTGATCTAAAGATACAATGTAAGGTTCTTGCTGATAATTCTGATACCCAATCCTTTAAAACGGTCCAAAGTAAGCCTAAACCAACAGAGGTGTCAATCGATTCTATCGAGAAGTCGAAGCCATCAGTAGCCCTTATCGGTTCTTCGATTTTGAGCTTGGTGAAAACAAGTCGTATGCATGATATGGACGCCTACTTAGAACATGCATACACCATACCACAAGCCAGAAAATCTCTGGAAAGTTTAAAGAAGCCAGATGTTGTAGTATACCAGGTTATTAGCAATGATATCAAAGATAGTCAAAAAACGGACACTGACATAATCGACGAGATGCATACTCTGGTAAATGAGACTAAGAGGAAACTTGGAAATACGAAGATCGTTCTATCTTTACCACCACCAAGAAGCGACAATGAATTATGGAACATTAGATCAGCATCCATATCAGCCCAGCTACAAGCCAAATATCATGATGATCGACAGGTTACATGCTCTCTAAACAGCAACCTTGGAAGAAATGGAACCCCAAACACATCTTTATACAGAGACGGAGTTCACCCAAACGAAAGGGGTACATCAGTTCTATGTAAAAACATCCTCGATTGCATTAGGAAACTATGTAACATCACTCCCCCACAAAGGTTTGGTCCTAAGAGACCATTTCAAGGCCAGAGAAAGTGGTTTGATAGATGGTGAAACTAACCATCTAAACACACCATTTGTTAATTACTGAAAAGTACATGTAGTGTTGGGTATGAAATACCATTTATATTAAGTCTTAGTACAAGTATATAACGATAATATAGTATAAAATGTTTTAGAGTATTGTATTATATACGTGTTGTATTGTAAGTATCACATATCATTTTAAATATTATATGGTGAACTTTATACATTGTTATAACTCATTAAATATCACTAAATCGTTGACAGACTTTGTAAAACAAGTTGTAGCATGAATAATGGATCACACTTATCTGTTGCATGTTGGAATGTACAAGGAATTAAAAACAATATGTTCAATAAGCTTGAAAACGCTGATTTTACGAAAGAAATCAAAAAGCATCACATTATAGGTATGACTGAAACACATGGTGATAAGGGCAGTTCGTTCTCCCTAGAAGGGTATACGTCATTTTGTTCAAACCGTTCAAAAACCGGCAATAAAAGACATGGTGGTGTTGCAGTATTTATACAAAAGCATTTAACTCCTGGAATTCAGATAATTCAATCAACAACGCCCGATTTAATGTGGGTTAAAATGAAAAGGATTTTCTTCGGTTTGAGCAATGATATCTACCTGGGATTTAATTACATATCCCCGTCAAATTATGTTAAAAAGACCATGGACACGGTTGACCCCTTTGACACGCTTTTAGCTGAATTATCAAAAATATCAAGTCTTGGGGACATAATAATGATGGGAGATTTCAATGCAAGAACCGGTGTTCTAAATGATTATATTGAATGTGATGGAGATAGTACAATTCCACTTTATGATGATTACATAATTGACTCAGTACCAACTTCACGTTTGAACAAAGATTCAAAAGTGAACGAAAGTGGCTACAAATTGCTTGATATATGCAAATCTACAAACATGAGAATATTGAACGGTCGTATTTTTGGCGACACATTTGGTTCGTTCACATGCCATAAATACAATGGTAGTAGTACTGTTGACTATTGCCTTGCAAAACAGTCAATCATGAATAGAATAAGATTATTTAAGGTTCATGATAGTTTAAGCTCTTTATCAGATCATTGCATGATTTCCATGTTACTTAAAGTAGAAAATTGTTATAAGAATCCTATCTGCACCAAAAAAAATCATGTAAGTTCGAAGGCGAATTCATTCAAATGGGATAACTTATCCCCAACTGTCTTTCGTGAAACTCTTCAAACAGCGCCGATCGCAGCTAAATTAAACTCATTGGATGAGCTTATTGAGCACTGTCCACAAAACAGGGTAAATGAAAGTATGAATAAATTAAATGATTTACTTATTACAGCAGCAACATTATCTCTGAAGAAAAGAAAAAAGTCGCAACCTAATAAAAGGAATAACAAAGCATGGTATAACGTTTCTTGTTCCGTTTTGAATAAGCGCGTTAGACGATTGGGTTTACAACTGGTGAAATCACCGAACAACGAACAAGCTCGAAAATCCTATTTCCATGTACTCAAACAATATAGAAAATTATGTAAGTCAAGCAATAAACGATTCAAAAACAGTCTAATTTTGAAACTTGAAGACTTTGAAGAAAATAACCCTTCTGAATATTGGAAGCTTCTCAGTAGCCTCAGAAAAGACAGCAATTCATTTAACCCCTCTGATGATATAGAGGCATCTGAATGGAAAAATCATTTTTCTAAACTATTTTCAAATAACAGTAATGATGACAACGATATTTTAATTAGATTGAAAAAACTAGAAAACGAGCCTAATTTTGACGAACTTAGTTACAAGATAACATATGAAGAGATCAATACGGTAGTAAACCAACTAAAAAATAAAAAAGCTGCGGGTAAAAGTGGAATATCTAATGAATGGGTAAAGGCAGGAAGGCAAATTTTAATTCCTCGCATTTGCAAGATATTCAATGAAATATTATCTAATAACCAATACCCAGTATCGTGGAATGAATCCTATATTGTACCAATTTACAAGAAAAATGACCCTCGAGTACCAGGTAACTATCGTGGCATATTTATTTCGGAATGCTTATCGAAAATTTTCTCCAATGTGCTATATAATCGCCTTTATACATTTGTCAAATCAAATAATATTATTTCACAAAACCAGGCAGGTTTTATGAAGAAAGCAAGGACGACCGACCATATATTTATAATTCGGTCTCTTATTGACAAACATGTTCATCAAAATAAATGTAATTTTTATGCCTGCTTTGTGGACCTAAAGAAGGCATTTGATTCGATATGGCACACAGGCCTTATGTATAAGTTACAAAAGTCAGGAATTAAAGGGCACTTCTACAAAATCATTAAAACCATGTATGAAAATGCCACGGCGTGTGTAAAACTTAATCACTCAACTTATACGGAATCGTTTTCATGTGCTAGGGGTGTAAAACAAGGAGACTCGCTCAGTCCATTATTATTTAACATATATATAAATGATATTATAAAAAAGTTTGATAATGTTGGGAAATCTCCATTCCTTGAAACTCAACATGTTAGCAGTTTGCTATTCGCAGACGATTTAGTCATATTTGATACTAGTAAAGAAGGAATGCAGCTAAAACTAAACACTCTTGAATCCTTCTGTGATGACTGGAAACTTGAAATTAACATTGACAAAACAAAAATTATGAAATTCTGGAAATGTGGCAAAGTTTGTCAAGAACGATTTCAAATAAATGGTAAGATTATACAAAATGTTCAAAGGTATACATATTTGGGAATTATCTTAAGTGCTTCGGGATCTTTTAAACCGGCCCAGCAAAACATAAAGGAAAAAGCAAATAAAGCCATGTTTAAAGTTTATCAATTGACAAGCGGCACAGAGATGAAGTCTTCACTGAAAATGAAATTGTATGATCAACTTATCAAACCCGTTGCTTTATACGGGTCGGAAATATGGTGTACTGATATATATACCAAGCGTGACTGCCTAACTAATAGAGATATTGAACATAAATACGAAAGTGCTTTAATTGAAAACAATCATATTCGGTTCCAAAAATATGTTCTCGGAGTTCATAGAAAAGCCACAAACATGGCAGTAAGAGGAGAATTGGGAAGAATACCTTTGGTAGTCGATATTATAAAAAGACAAATCAAATACCTCGGTCATTTAGAGTTGAGTGCAAATGGGAGTTTACTAAACGATTCATTAATTATGAGTAAAACATTTGTTTTAACAAATAACACATTTACATGGCACAAACAACTCAAAAATATACTGTGCCATATTAAAATAAAAATGTCTGATGAATTGAATCTTGAAGATAAGGTAAACATAGAGAAGAGCACAAATAGGCTTGCTATTAAAGTCAAAAAGAAATTAATAGAGAGATATCAAGTATATTGGAAGAATCTGATAAGTGGGAATGGGGGGAAACTTAGATTATTTAAACAACTAAAATCGCACTTTGGGTTTGAACACTACCTTTCAGAAACGAGACTTTCAAACGCTAAACATTTAACTAGATTACGTATAAGCGCCCACAATCTAGAGATAGAAAGAGGCCGATATACAAAACCAATTACTGATCTTAATAGTCGATTTTGTAAAATATGTAAGGACTCGGTTATAGAAGATGAAACACACTTTTTATTCAAATGTAAAAAATTGGAGTTTATCAGAAAATCCCATATTGAAAAACTTGAAAACCTGTGTAGTAATTTTAAAAACATGAATGATCACCAAAAGACAATTTTTCTATTGACGAGTGAGGGGATCATATTAAAAGAAGCTGCTGACATGATAAAGTATCTAATGATTGGTAGAGACAGGATTCTTATATCAAAGTAACATTTTATATATGTCATTTGAAGAATGTAATCCTATTTTCTTTACTTTATTGCTATATTTACTGTTATTGAAAATTGTATATCGGATGTACGTTTGGCCCTAAAAGGGCATCAGTACTAATAAAAAAATCCTATATCTATACTGTAAAATGGGTAATTTTGACACCAGGAAATTTTAGCGATTTTTCAATTTTAGGGGGTTTTAGCGCGGGAAATTTTAGTGAAATGAAGATTAATCTTTAAAAAATCAAATTAGCAAAATGCATTTGCTCACTTATGGTACGGGAGAATTTAAGCAATATCATTGGTCGTTGAACCGTGTTCAATTAACACCTTTTATATTTATGTTTACTACTAATACTATTTCACTGATGGATGGCTATTTATCCTTCAGATATTGAAAGAAACATACGATTTAAAAATATTTACCTTTTTCAAATTACAAACCGGAAGTCCAGCACTGAACGAAAAGCTCCTTAAATACTACGGTAGTTTCCAGTGAATTTGCAAATTTTAACGCCACGGTTTATTTTAACCCCGGTTTATTTTAGCGAATTGAATTTTTAGCGAAACTATAGCGATCGCTAACAATTACCCCTCGCTAACAATACCCGTTTTACAGTAAAACAACTTTACCAAGTGAAAATGTTTAATAATTATATATATTTATTGATTTCGTTTCATAGTACGAGTTCGCTATAGCGAGTTAGCGTATCGCTATAACGATAAGTGAATGTTCTTTAAGGAAAATAAAAATTCCGAAAATTATCGGAATATGAGAAGGTAGGTCCGAAAGTCCGTTTCCGAAGGCAAAATCGGACGGTTCGGACAATAATTCCGTTCCGTGCCAGCCCTAGTTTTGAGGTATAACTTCTTCCCGCGAATTTAAAAACGGAAGTAAACGTTAAGTACGGACTGAATAAATGCTTGTTCGTTCATTCGACAATGAATACATTTTATTTCATGAATAACCTAATATTTGTTTCTGAATAGGAAAAACTATGGCGTGTCATGGTTTCAAATCTAAAAATAAACAAAGTCGAAAAAATTCGAGAGAATCATGATTATTTGTAAATATTCAACATGTTGAGCTTTATTTACGATTCAAATAAAGGTGAGAGATCATAATTATTTGTTTTTGTTAGGTATCGTTGTAAACACATTGTAGTATTGACCTAAAAAAAATTTGCGTCCAAAAAACGGAAATATTTTCAATTTTTGCGTCCTTCAAATTATTTTTGAGTCCTTAACATGTACGGGACACCGTTAATTCAAGCCCTGCTGTTTGATTGCTTTTTCCACTACCTTCATTTGGTACAAATTTCACCTAAATCTGAGCAATATTGACGGAGATAGGGACCAAACACTGAAAAGAGCCCCTAAAAGTGGGTGCGGGATATTTACTTTGTTACCATAGCAACGCCATTACGGATTCAGAATTGCCAACTTAATATCTCCTGATTGCATAATCTATTACCTTCCATTTGGTATAAATTTCATCAAAATCTGAGCAATAATGGTGGAAATAGAGGCCAAACACTGAAAAGAGCATCCAAAAGTGGGTGTGGCATATTTACTTGGTTACCATAGCTACGCCGTCAAAGAATCAGAATTGCCAACATCATTTTCTTGATCAGTATCACTTCTAGTTCATGAAAACATATGTCGCTTAGCTCGCCTCTAAAAAGGACACGGAACCTCTTATTTGGACTTTATACATACCCTTATAATAATGTTGACCAAATTTCATGGTAGTATACGCACCATTCACGTTGTAATTCTCAATTTTATGAGAGAAATATCTCTCACATGTTTTCTTTTTCCACCATCTTGAAATTAAATTTAGGGGTTTGTGTTTCTAAATCATGGGCCTAATTTACGACTAATTATCATTATAATCATCCTATATGTTAACTATCAACCAATAATCTACTTCAGAACAAAAACGTTTTAATTTACCACTTACTATCACCCTCAAACATTTCATATCTTAATTATCAACTAAAAATCATAAATCAGCATTATTGTAAGTTAATTTACGTTGAACTTGCTACTGATAATTAGGCCATAATTATCATTGATTTAATTAACGCTTAACTTTAATTCCAATTGCCAGCAGAACTGTTGATAATTAGTTGTAAATTAGTTGGTAATAAGTTGGTAATTAGTTTTATTTTTCAATTAAGTTGCTCCCACACTACTTTGCAAATTCAGAAAAATTCTGTTGAAAAAACAATTCAGCCATCTTGAAATTGAAGTTGGTCTTCTTCGCTGATTTGCTGATTTAGCCTTATTTAGCTCATTACATTCATCGACATTGTATGTATCAAATCCACTTTAACTTATAGAATCAAAAGATTACCTACTGATTATATATCTGTGGTCTATTCATACTTTTAAATAAGTTCGTCATGAAAAATTAAGTTAATCTGGTAGCCGACGGGGGTTAGTTGCATTCGCAAATACAAGATATGACTCCACTTTGCTCCTGTGCAGCCCCTTACCAGTCACAAATCTGGAAATAAATTGTTTATGTATTAGTGAGTTTCCTCACTAATCACACATAAACTTCTCGGTCTATAATTCCTGAGTAATGCTTCCAGTTTTACTCAGGGGGATTTTTTGCATATGAAGAGCGTCTGGGACACTAGCTTCATTTTTAATTTGATTTCGGACCTGAGAAATTTGGAATACTGAACCATTATCTGGCCAATGAATGTAATGCCCCGAGGTGTAATGCATCTTATGGGTACATTGTTCAGATGGTACTGTGTGTTTACCCCCCCCCCCCCAACCCCCTTCAGAGGGGCCCTCGCCTCGATGTGGTTACTGTGAAGGATCAAATGTATTTACTGATATTTGGCAACTGCTTTAAATTACCTGCTTGATTTAGAGTCATTCAACGGATGCTTTGAATCCCATTAAGGCTCGAACCAACCCCCGGGAACCAACCTCCGTCCTCCCCTATGTTGTATTTTCCTTTCAGAATCAGACTTAAAGAAATAAAGAATTTAAAAGAAACAAGTTAAGTTTAGAGAAATGTCGTGGCATGTACATGATTCCCAACGTTAAATGATCAACAAGGCATTGTTGCTTTATGATATTGAGTGTGGGGTGGAATTTGTTAAGAAAACACTAAAAATCTAAATCTGGCTAACCCGCTGGCTAATCTTCATCTCTTTGCCGAAAATATTTTATAAAAAAATTACACATAGCTCCAAGGATATTGGTGTTGAAACTTGTAATTGAGACAAACGTTTTTTTGTGTTCTCTAGCATCATTAGATGAAAGCAAAAAGTAGCTACTTAATTAAACAACCAATTCGTATCTATATATTACAAGACGTCCGTCCGTTGGTCCGTCCGTCCGTCAACTTTGGCCGCACAAATTAAAACTGCTATTCGGATTGAGTCATATCCACATTCATTTTATGCATATCCATAATGCCTATTTGACCTATCATCGCCATTTCCCAAGTTCGCCCGGTTTCCGAGAAATTGCGGATTTTGACGTCAAAAAGTCAAATTTTCTGTAAATACTAGACACTTTGTTGAAGTAGAACTTTCAAATAACTTTTAGTAGTTGCTGTATATGCAACTTATGTCCTCTGAAGATTTCAAAGCTCTTGAGATTACAGTTTTTGGTTTTTACTCTATAAAATTTGACAAAAGTAGGACTTCGTCATTTTCAAGAAACTTTCTCATGTATAAAGTCAATGGCAGGTTTTGTGATTGACAAGTTTCTCAAAGTTTGCCTTATACTTGATCATTTCTTGCAGTGAATTACATCATAACTAGATTTAAGCATTCCCTACATATTGCTCAATATATGTCAGCATTAAATTTTTACAGTTTTTGAGATATTTGATGTCAAAAAACAGTAAAAATAAGTTATTTTTCAACTTGTTTCAATTTGACCAAATTCTTTTTTGAAAATCATCTACAAGTTGCCAAGAGTTCAAATCTGACATTATTTTTAGGATTTGACCTTTACTTCACCTTCAGTGACCTTCGAAAGGTCAAAAAAGTTGATTTTTCAAATTGATTTTTGGATGTAAATTTTGGTCAGCTTAATCACAAAAGACCTTACTGAGCTCTGGATTAGTAAAATTTTCAAGGTCAAAGGTCATCAAACTAGGTCACACAACTGTGCTATCTAAGTTTCTTAAAGTTCGAGACTACAAATCCAAATCAATATTTTAGTTTGAAAGTAAGTATATTCATTCCTCTGAAGGTTCCAAACTGTGTGAGCACAGGACCGTTGGTCCTTCATTATGATTATTTCACGTTTTTTATGTCCCCACCACATAGTGTGGGGCCATATTGTAGGCCTAGGCGCGTCCGTCTGTCTGTCCGTCTGTCTGTCTGTCCGTACGTCCGTACGTCCGGCAGTTTTTTTTCAAAACCGCCACAGATATCACCTTCAAATTTTCAGGGATAACTTATAAGTGCATACAGATGTGGATGAAAAAAAATTAACTCGATACCTACTTCCTGTCGGCCATTTTGAAGTCAAATGCTAAAATTCTTGTCTGCAAATTTTAAGAAAAACGGCTTCACAGTTGCTTTTAAAACTTTAAAATCTTGTTCAGCTCACTTCATTCTAGATCTGATTAGGTTTTGGACCTGTTTGCTCAGTCATGTCAGCCATTTTGAATGTTTTAAGAAAAGTTAGCGCACGATAATACTTTGTATCATATTAAATGGTGTTTTTCAGTTTTCATACTTTAACTATTTAGTAGCGTTATAAATAATTTCAGGTGTACTTTGTTGTAAAAGCCTATGTTATTGTTAACAGTAGTTATATGTGATAATTTTGTAAAAAGAAATCAGCAAAAACTCATAATCACTTTTTTATTGTCGGCCATTTGGATTTTTCCGTCTTAAAATCTTGTCTGTAAAGTCTTGTCTACGCGTTTTCAGGTGAACTGTTTTGTAGATCAATTTCAAACTTTCAGGGATGATTCTTAGTATGAAAATCTAGATCTGATTAGTTTGGCATTCTAGGTAAATGTCAAGGCAGCCATTTCAGATTTTCCGTCCTAAAATCTTGTCTGTAAAGTCTTGTCTACGCATTTCCAGGTGAACCGTTTGGTAGATCAATTTCAATTTTTCAGGGATAATTCTTAGTATGAAAATCTAGACCTGATTCGTTTTTGGGCATTCTGGGTAAATGTCAAGGCAGCCATTTTGGATTTTGTGTCCTAAAATCTTGTTTGTAAAGTCTTGTCTACGCATTTCCAGGTGAACTGTTTGGTAGATCAATTTCATATTTTCAGGGATGATTCTTAGTATGAAAATCTGGAACAGATTATTTTTTTGGCATTCTGGATAAATGTCAAGGCAGCCATTTTGGATTTTCTGTCCTCAAATCTTGTCTGTAAAGTCTTGTTTACAGGTTTTCTGGTTAACTATGTGACGGATCAATTTCAAATTTTCAGGGCTGGTTCTTAGTAAGAAAATCTAGAACTGACTAATTTTTTGGCATTCTTGGTAAATTTTAAGGTGGCCATTTTGGATTTTCCGTCCTCAAATTGTGTCGGTAAAGTCTTGTCTACTCATTTTTAGGATAACCATTTGACGGGATTACCCATAGGTGGGGACATTTTGTACACATTTGTGTTCTTGTCTATATTTTGCGTAACCAGGACGGTGAATTTTCTTCATTTTTCTTCAAACATTTCGTCTTACCAATATTTATTATATCTGTCAATTTCAAGAAAATTGACCTCCATTATAAAAATGGAATTTTCAAACTTAATATTTTAAAATTCTACGTGGTGAAAAGTTGCATATTGAGTAGTTAGTTAATGTTATGGTGTAAAAAATTCAAAACAAAAAGGAAAAAAGAAAAAATACCACGGAGAAGTCTCATTAACATCTCTTTAAGTGCAATAAGGAAAAAAAGATAAAATAATCGGGTCTCTCATGGAAGCACTTTCAGACCTACCTCTTGACTTTGATAATTGATTTAAAGGTAATTAGTAGGTCCTCATATATGATTTTTGCAGAAAATTAATCTTTTATCCCTAGGAGCATCTACATGAAAAATCAGGCAAAACTAATGCTTACTGCAAAAGTTATCAAAAATAAATCCCCCCCCCCTTAGGAACTGTAGGGTTAAATTGAATATTCTGCTGTTGTTGCCAGGATTCTCGCAAATACAGGGAAACAGGAGAATGTTGCCAGTGACAATGACAGTGAAGACAACAAGGATGATAACGACTGGAGCTATGCTGTAGATAGGAAAAGTAAGTATCCACATGTAATTGATATGATTTTTGAAGTGATTGTTAGTCTTGTACTGTTCTTAGCATAATGTCTGATCAGTGATCATTTAAAGTTCTAAGACAAAGGTCACATTATTTCATAATTTACCAAACATTTCCAATTGGATGAATGCAAAACTCTATTGGCATGTAACTAGGGAATGTACTAAAACCCCTTCGACCTACGACCCTTCCACACTACGACTTACTGGGTGTCAAGAATTTTTGGAATATATTTTATTGAAAAACCCTTCGACCTTTGATTTCCCAGTCTAGTTTTCAAGTTTATACATGATTCCGTATAGTTTCAACTTGAGTTCCCCGTAGGATTTAATCTACCTAATTGGAAAATGTTTCATACATACAGACTCTTTCAATGGAAACATAGTTTGTACCCAGTCTTGTTACCGTTTACACATTACAAATATGATGGTTATTAGGCTTAACCAAAATCGTGAGAACTCTAGAATCTCTGGTCATAAAAGGAAATGTAACTATGATTACATGAATATTTATGAATTAAGAAGGTTTGTACATGTCAAAACATTGTCACTTCAAATGCCAATCAAAGGTGTGAACACTGAATTGCGTAAGGAATATAACAATCACGCTGACAAACACACTTTTCAAATAACGATATCTCTAGAAATATAAGACCAATTACAAATTTTGTACACCATTAAAAAGCTTAACTCACCGATAATTAAGAAATAATTCTTACAATTATTGGACATGTACTTTTCTCTATATTTGACCAGAAAGAACATGAATAACTGATAATGAATGATTATCTTCTATGCCTGGTGGGTGGGAAATGAATAAACACACTAATTTAGACTAGGCCATAAGAATTAGACTAGATTTTAGGCAAATCAGAAAAAAACAATCACTTCCAAATAGCAACCCCAAGGGTCTGGATGTACCATTGCATTTCGTTCAATCAGAATCAGAAATAGCGTGCGGAAAATTTGATGTGCCTCAAAATTCTAAGTACATCCATCCGTCCGTCCAGACAATTACTCAAATACACTTGGACCAATATTGTTTATATTTTATATTTATATGGCCCATGTGAGCGCAAGTTCTGCTCGAGAGCGGAGTTTAAGAATGGCTACCAATTTAGAAATGGCCGCCATTTGTGTAAATTTTAAGGCATTTTAGTTATAACATATAAAACAGTATTGTTACTATGTTTTGAATGCAAAAAATTATATAGGATATTGATTAACTTGAAAATTTAAATATCTAAAAAACACAGTGGCCATCTTCCTATTTTCGATTGTTGCTGTAACTGGGAAAAGTAATAGGCTATGGAGCGATTTTTTCATATCGATATTTAATATGTGAATACTCAAAAGCATGGCACACTATCTTATGACACTTTGGCAAGTAGGCGGCCATTTTGAAAAATGGCTTCTAACTTAATGTGTGTTATATTGCGTTTTTAACTCAAAAAGTAGTGGGCCTATTTTTTCACATTTGATATGTTAATACTCATAAGCAAGGCACATTGGCTAAGTGGCCATTTTGAAAAGTGGCCTCTATTTTAAAGTGTGTTATTTTACTTTTTATTAGCTCACATGGTGAGCTTTTGCAATCACTCACTTGTCCATCTGTCTGTCTGTGCGTCTGTGCGTGCGTCCGTCCGTCAACAATAGTGGCACGTTTTAAGACCTCTGTCGATAGGATTCCTGTTTTAAGTTATTTCTGTTCAACATCAATACAAAAAACTCCCCTATGTCTCCTGGTTCAAAAGCTCCTAGATATATGAAATAATTTTGTTACAGAAAATCAGCGAAAAATTATATCCATTTTTTTTATTTTCAGCCATTTTAGTTAACATTTATTTGTCCATCTGACTCGCGAAATCCACTTTTCCGTCAACAACAGTGGCATGTTTTAAAACCTCTGTCGATAGGATTCCTGTTTTAAGTTATTTCTGTTCAACATCAATACAGAAAACTCCCCTATGACTCCTGGTTCAAAAGCTTGCTTATTTTCAAAACGGCCGCCATTTTTGTCTTGCGAAATTCACTTTTGACCCTTTTCCTAGATTTACAAATAATTTCAAGTGTCCTACATTGTAAAAATCCATTTCAAAGTAAAGAGTAGATGTATGAAATAATTTTGTTACGAAAAATCAGCAAAAAATTATATCCATTTTTTTATTTTCAGCCATTTTAGTTAACATTGATTTGTCCACCAGTCTCACAAAATCCACTTTTGGACCATTTCCCTTAAACTATCTGTCGATAGGATTCCCGTTTCAAGTTAATTTTGTTCAACATCAATACAAAAAACTCTCCTATGACTCTTGGTTCAAAAGCTTGCCTATTTTCAAAATGGTCGCCATTCTTGTCTAGCGAAATTCACTTTTGGCCCATTTCCTAGCTTTACAAATAATTTCAGCTGTCCTGCATTGTAAAAAGCCATGTCACTGTAAAGAGTAGTTGTATGAAATAATTTTGTTACAAAAAATTGGCAAAATATTATATCAGTTTTTTTATTTTCAGCCATTTTAGTTAACATTGATTTGTCCATCTGTCTCACTAAATCCTCTTTTGGACCATTTGCTTAAAACCTCTGTCGATAGGATTCCAGTTTAAAGTTATTTTTGTTCAACATCAATATAAAAAACTCCCCTATGACTCCTGGTACAAAAGCTTGCCTATTTTCAAAATGGTCGCCATTTTCGTCTCGCGAAATTTAATTTTGGCCCATTTCCTAGCTTTACAAATAATTTCAGGTGTCCTGCATTGCAAAAAGCCATGTCACTGTAAAGAGTAGTTGTATGAAATAATTTTGTTACAAATAATTGGCATCAATTTGTCCATCTGTATCTCAGTCAGTCCAAAATAGTGGCAAGTGGCTTGAAATAATTTTGTTACAAAAAATCAGCAAAAAATTATATCTGTTTTTTTTCACACCATGTGAGCCCAGTACCCACAGTACTATTTTTTACTAAAACTTTAAAATAAGTGGAACGATTTTGTGCTCAAAAGTTCGATGGGATTTGCTACACCTTGGCATTGCTGGTATCTACAGGGTCCGCCAAAAAAAACCTCCATGTTTTTGTTTTTTCTACAACATTTTTAATATTACAGAAAATTGTTTAAATCATATATCATTGGAAAGACAATTCAATTTCAAACAAAACGATATATAATTCATTTCACATAAATAAGTATTTGTTTTAAAATAACTTTTGATTACCACAGGGGTCAAAATTATGATTTACTGTTTGCTGAATATGGAATGCTAAAAACTGACCAGACAGATTTAACCCCTATATTAGCTTTGGGGATATTAGTCTAATTATAGAAGGTCAAATTGTTGATTTATGTATCAAATGAAAGCAAATTAATTAACAAATACAATATTATTGAGTTCTTTTACCATTTTGATAGGTATTGGTAATATTATAGCCTTAATAACGCAGAGAAATCTGCATCAAATAGTTGAATATTTACTCATTTCAAGACATTTTGGAGATAATGCCTATTATAAGCAAAAATTATCAATAATGATGTTGTACTTATATAAGTTAACTTAATTGACATTCTGAATGGCAGACAATGCAATAATAGACACCAGAAGAGGAAATTATGGAATTGTATTCCATTTCATGGGTTATGGCAAAATTTCAACTGAGTTTCTTTGCAAAACATGTTTGAAGCAAATATCAATTTATCTAACAATCTTACTTTATTACAAACTACAATGCTTAAAAATAGGTCCCATGATTATTTAAGAGCTATACAATGATTTACAAACAATAAAACTCAAATCCAATACCTTTTCTTCATATACAAAGCCTTATTATGTATTAAGCGCAAACCATATAGCGAAATGTTGTTTTCGACTGTTACTACCCCATGATATGGAAATGACCATGGAGTCACCAAATAAGCCATTCATATTTTATGAATCATACATCATTTTGTTAGAAATTGAATTATCTTTCAAATGATATATAATTTATGGATATTTCTAACATACAAGCGAAGATATTACAAAAATAAAAATATGGACGTTTTTACTGGCCCACCCTATAGTTTTGAAATGTTTCATATCTATGTTTTTAATATAACTGTATAGATGTGTTTGTAATAACCTTTATGCCCTTAAAATATATATACCAAAATTGTTAAATGTTCACCCCTTGATTGAAAAGTGAGTGTCTGAAGGTCATGGCTCTATGGAGCAATGGTTAGCACTTAGAACTCATGTCCGTTAGGCCTGGGTTCAAATCTAGTCGCACGAAAACATTTTTGTTTTTTATTTTTGCTTTTTTTCATATTCAACCACAATTCAATAATGCAGATGCGAGTAAGTAGTTACCAGTTTCACCACCAGGTGGCTCATTTGGGCCAGATAACATGGCGGGTATAGGAGAAAGTTCCCTTTAACTTAAATTACATCTTTTTTAGTGGTTCAATTTTCATATAACCCTTATGTACAATCTAATAGTTATGCAAATTAAAATATGTCCAGTAAAATAAAATGTTATCTGTCCAATACAAGAAAAGATATATATTTCACATTTGGTGCTTTGTAACATGGAATCAACACAAGCTAGAAATCACATTTTCAAAAATTTTGAATTTTCAAAGTTGATTAACAATTTTCAGAATCGTATTTCTAGATGTACTTTTATATGTAGATTTCAAATATGACATCACTTTGACTGAATTTTGAATATTCAATGACGTAAATCAAGTTTATATCTACTCGCACCACCTAGTCATTTCCAGGTGAACCGTTTGGTAGATCAATTTCAAATTTTCAGGGATGATTCTTACTATGAAAATCTAAATTCGATTAGTTTTTTGGCATTCTGGGTAAATGTCAAGGTAGCCATTTTGGATTTTCCATCCTAAAATCTTGTCTTTAAAGTCTTATTTACATGTATGTATTTTCTGGTTATCTGTTATATGGATCAATTTCAAATTTTCAGGGGTGGTTCTTAGTATGAAAATCTAGAACTATTCTGGGTAAATTTTAAGGTGGCCATTTTGGATTTTCCGTCCTCAAATTGTGTCGGTAGAGTCTTGTCTACTCATTTTCAGGATAACCATTTGACGGGACCACCCATTGGTGGGGACATTTTGTACACATTTGTGTTCTTGTTATAAAAATCTATTCCAAAAATTCTTGACACCCAGTAAGTCTTAGGTTGAAGGGTTTTTAGTACATTTCTGTAACTAGACCTTGTCGACTTGCCTTGTCCTGTCAACCCTCAAAAATAACACCCAATTTGAATCATTACTATTCAAAAGAAAACATTCAAATCTATATTATGTAAAAAATCAAATTTGTCCTAATAGACTGTGACCCATTCTGTAGAAGTGCTCTAGAAATGCAACCTTCCTTTCATGGAAGGTTACACATTCCCACGCCTAACCATCGCGTAAACAGGCCTCACCGTACAGCGTCAAAAAATACAGTAGTACAGTTTTCTGTAGGTTGACGAAAATTAAATTGAGTTGAAGCAAAAACTATAATGAGGGTTTTAAAAAAATGAATTAGATGAAAATAAATACGATTTCGGGTGTAATAAAAACAGCATTCTCTTAAGAATGGTTTAAACTTTCTAATTATGATAAAAGTTTTTCAAGCACTGCTCGGATTTTTTCTGACTGGATCGGCCCACATAATCGAATCGAGAGAAAAGTGTTGTTTTTTTCACTTTTTGTTTGGTTATTATATTCCATGTCGTCTGAGAGTATGGATTATTTTTATGAGAATATGTATTTGTTATCTATACATTTTAGAACAGATGAAGATTCGGCAAATAATCATTCAGTGTATTTATTCAACATTGAAAAAGATCAATTCTTATGTTTCCATTCATTTCTGATAACAAGGATTAAATACTGAAACACATTCAACTATAAGCTTACTGTTCGAACAAGAGGTAAAGAAGTGTCAGATCTACAGTACATGTACATTATCACTGGTAAGTATCAAGCGAAGGTTACAGCCATCACCTTCGCATTTAAGATGGCGGACAGGAAGTATTAATTTCGATATTTTTAGTTTTCATGGAATGAACTATTTGAAAGTTGTAATGCTTTGATATCATTTGAACTAAACCAGGCTTTTCTCATATGACTAACAAAGATAGCCTACACAGCCAGCTTTACCACATGCAAGATATTGCATCTTTTATCCTAAAAAGTCACACATGCAAGATGAGATTTACTTGTGACATCCCTTTTTTAAAACATCAATAACATAGCAACAAATATACTTTGTTATACATGTATATATGAGTTTTTGGTTTCATGATCCTTACTGTATCATACATTTCCAGTAACCTTCCATTAAGCGGTGGAAGATATCGTTGAACTGTAGCGCCAATGCACTACGAGGGTTGTCCCAGAAGTAATGCACTATATGCTCTAACTTTCTTTAATATTCTTCAATTCAGCTGAAATTTTGTGTATATAACAATTGAAGTTTTATCTATTATATCCTGAAGTTTCAGCATCAAACATGCATATTAAGTCTTAATATGGTTGCTAAATATAATAATTGGGAAATTGTTAAATTTATTCAGCATGATGTTAACCAAGTACATATAATGACATTTAGCACTGTGATATCATAATACCACATTTCAATAGTCAAGAATTCAAACTCAGTCAAGAAATTGCAAAAATGGCTGCAATTCTCACCTGATACTCACAGCCACTCAAAACAATGCCTGCCCTGTCAACCCTCACGCATTAGGCGTGATTGTCACGCATTTGCTGGAAAAATAGAAATCACGCATCAATTTAGCGTGTATGATCAAATATCAGGCAAATCACGCATTTTGTTGAAATTTTGAAAAATCGATTGCCGTTTATGTCACGCATTTGGTACAAAATATGTGTATATATCACGCATTTGTTTCAAAAATAATCACACCTTCCCCCTACCCCCCAAAAAAAAACTCCACAAGTCACATGGAAGAAATTGCCAAGAGTGTTTGACCTGAGAGGCATCAAACATACATAACATGAAAAGGGCAATATTTTGAGAAAATGTGAAATGGGACACTGTGCAATATACATCCATTAAATCTTGGATGTGCTCATAGTAATTTAGTATCTTAAAATGTATTTCTGAGCATACTTCTTCTAGCTACACAAAATGGTATTTGTTGATTAAATATTTGATATTTTAAATTTTTTATTCCTTTTGGCGTGACTGTATAACCTGCCCCACCCTACCCAAACTCACCAACTTGATTTTATTATAACATCAACATAGTTTTATCAGTCAACATGAAATTTTTTAGAATAATCAAAATGTCTCTTAAAGAACATTAACTGAAAATTTCCTGGAAAAATATCAATTATTGATAAAGTTAGAGCATATAGTGCATTACTTCTGGGACAACACTCGTATATATGAACAAATGATCATACTCCAGAGTTTCCATTTCATATAAGCTTAGTCTCATTTAGTTCATCAAAGCATTGCGCCATGATGATGAAGTTTAATTCGTTGAAAACTAGCAATATCGATATCGAGACTTCCTGTCTGCCATCTTAAATGCAAAGGTGACTGCAGTAACTTTCAATTGATACTGATCAGTTTGACAACATTTATACGAGGGATACTTGATTGGATCAACATTTGAACTTCCACACCAAAACTAATGCGATTTGAAGTTATAAATAATGAATTCTTTATATTACATCTCACAAATTATAATGAATCGTCACCGTACAGCTGATGCGTCACTGTACAAAGATTTTTTTTAAATATACATAATGAATACACTGTACTTGTTTGCTGAATCTTCACCCGTTCTAAAATGTGTAATCAACAAATACATATTCAATTCAATTCAATTTATTATTCAATTCTAGTTTTCATACAATATTAATTTACAAATGATATGAAAAGGACACCGTGAGGGGTGTATGGATTCCATGTTTTGAAAAAATAAAATGTGTTATACATAAAGCATGTTATGTTAGAACAGTTATTGTAGTGTACAAATTTACAAAGCATACATTTTTAATTATCTTGATGTAACATAGTGGAAGTATGGTTCAAACTAACTAATAATGACTTAACAAATTGGACTTAAACTTTCGTTGAAACATTAAAATAATCCATACTCTCAGACGGCAGGGAAAATAATAACCAAACGAAATGTGAAAAAACAACCTTTTTCACTTGGGTCGATTATGTGTGCCGATTCACTCAGAAAAAGTCCGAACAGTGCTTGTAAAACATTTATCATAATTAGAAAGTTAAAGGCAGAATCTGATCTATAGGGGGTGACAAAATTACAAGCAGCATGTATAATTGACCTACCAATCTATTCCTTACAATATCAAATACAATACCTCCCAAAAGATTCACAATATGTTATAAACTGGTGAAGTTATTGATGATTCAAAGTCCAAAAATGGGTGAAAAATGTTTAAATTCTCCCAAATAATAAGAATGGTAACCATTCTTACAGTAAAAATAATACGTACATTATTGTAAAAATCTTTAGTTTTCCTGGAATAAAGTATGCATGCACTTTTAGAAAATACACATAACAAGGAATGACATGAGCCAAAAATATTCTAAAATTGAAACAATTTTTTGTTTAGCCTGCTCGGATTTTCTCTTTAAAACCATTTCTAAGAAAATGCTGTTTTTATTTCACATGAAATTGTATTAGTTTTCATCAAATTAATTTTTTTAAACCCTTGTCATAGTTTTTGCTTCAAAGCAGTTAATTTGCGTCACCTTACAGAAAACTGTACTCCGCTATTTTTTGACGCTGTACGGTGACGATGGTTAGGCGTGATTCCTACCTATTTCAAACCATCTGTATGATTATGCTGGACACTTTCTGGGTAGTTGGACTTCACATAGGGGTGGCAGACGGCCCTCAGACCAATTGATACCCCTACCCCAAAAAACCATGGGGGTACTTTAATACCACCAAATAAAAAGAATACTAATGCATGTCAAATATTCATTGTCCTATATTGGGTTGGGCATATTATGGTTAGTCAGTGCCAGAAATTTCCAATCTCTAAGTTATATGGTTACCATAGAATTTATATCTCGAAATATTCTCAATTTGACCCCCTCCCAAATGTGTCCCTTTGTTCTCAAAGTGCAATATTTGCAAATTTGTTTTGATTTTATGGCTGCTACTTTGTCAAAAATTGTAATCATATATACACTTAAAAGTAAATATAATGATCCTGTAAATCAATAATATTTATCAAATATAGTCACACATAGCTGCTTTCAGGGAAAAGTGGGTGTGGCACTTTTTGGTACTTGTGTACTTGTTGCAGCATCAAATGAAAAATGCAAATTGCACTAACAATAATTGACATTTAATTAGCATCTACTAACGTTGTGTAACAACATTAGTAGATGCTAATTAAATATATAACTATGTTACACATCATTTACTATGTTACACATCATTAGTAGATGCTAATAAATGTCAATTGTTGTTACTGTAATATGTATTTCAGAAGTTCAGAAGTTCTATCTGAGAATTGCTAACGTTTTCAAAAAAGTTTATATGTGATTTGTAGGCAAGAAATCCAGAAAAGACAGAAGTGGAAACTCCCCAAGAAGAGGGAAAATTTCAAAGCTGAAAAATGGTAAGAGCAATTAAATTGAGTCATGACATTGATAGATGTACTAGTATTATATCATCCTCCGATCACAGGGCTTCAAAATACAGAATACTTCTTTCTTTTTACCCCCTGCAATAAGCAATTAGCATTTTCCCGATTAAGAACTCGCAATTTGATTTGCTGGCGCATAATTAGAGGGGGGAAGAAGGAGGTATGGATTTTGGACTCAGCAGTGACAATAAAATAAAATGAAGTTTAGGTTACATTGGCAGAGCTGTCAAGTGTCCAGAGAATGGCGGGTTTATCCCGCGAATTTGATCAAAATTTGGCTAATTCGCGTGTTCCACAATGTCCCGTGAAGTCCCGCAAATGTTTGACTTTGACCTCTGCGATTTTCCAAAATTGTTGCAATCCCCTAGGCTAAATAATTGTGATTATCTTGTGATATAAGAAGCTAAGTTTTTTGCACTTTTGAGGAGTAAAGTATACTTAATTTGAAAAGTGCTGCCAAACTCCCCGTGCATCACTGATCAGATCATCAAAGACTGCTTTTGGAAAGAGCATATAGTCCATTTAAAAAACTGTACCTATCAAAAAAAATAAAGAGGAAGCATTCAACTTTCATTTTAATTACTAAAATAGGGATGTAAGTCACAAATAGTTCTCACGTTGGCCTTTTTACTACGTGGGTGGCCTTCATCTCAGAACTGTGTAAGTGTTAGCAAACGCGAGTTACAATAAATGGACACTGATATCTCGAAAAGAAACCTGACTAATTTAATGTAGATTAATCGATGAATAGATACATTTTAATATATAACACTATGGAGGTTAAGCATTTCATAGTTGGTCACGAACGCCACAAGTGCACTCACACTTGGTGGTTTTTGTTTTTGATAAATTGCAATAAAGTTTAATAATATTTCTATGAGTATTGTGTGAAATTGTGTAGACGTTTATTTAAGTTAAGTGCATTATATTTGATAAATCAGTATCGAAAGTTTGATTTGAGTACTTTTACATAAAGTCCCAATCACGCAAATCTCTCGAATGTCCCGCCACATCCCGCAAATTTAGGTGGATGTCCCACGAAATCCCGCAAATTTAGGGCACTGTCTAAAAAAATCTGTCCTGCTATGAAGTCTTTGGTGGTTACCCTGTTAACTGTCCTTCAATTAGCGTGTTTGTCCCTCGCAAAGACCCGCGAAATCCCGCGAATTTGATCAAAATTTGGCCTATTGGCACTCATGCAAATCCCTGAAATGTCCCGCAAAATCCCGCAAATTTAGGTGGATGTCCCGCAAAATCCCGTGTATGTTGGGCACTGGGTCTAAAAAATCTGTCCCATGAGAAAATCTTTGGGGGTTGACAGTACTGCATTGGCTTCCTAGGTCAGATCATGAGAATTTTTGGAACTGTTGGTATCTTCAAGATTTCATGGTCCAAATTAGGAAAATCCTTGCCACCTGCGGGTCTTCTTTTTGGTCATCATGTAGGTCACAGGTGTAGAGGCCTCATTCTTCAACCTGCGACGTCACAGCCACCATGTGACTTCGAAATAACTGGGACCTTTTCATTAACAAATCGCAGTCTGCGATGTCCCTGCGAGCAGTCACAGTGAATTTCATGTACTGACCACGTAATGTTTGCACCATGTTTCACTTACAAGATGGCACTATTCTGGTACAATTATCAAACATCCACTTCCTCAAAATAAATGACACCAAAGTCAAGCAACAGAGCACCCTATCTTTCAGAGGAATAGTAATTGATGCCAATTGAATATTCAAAGGGCATATCGAAAACTACTTAGAAAAAAGATTTCTCAGTGCATTGAGGTCTTGTATGGGGTAATTATTCACTCTCAGATCAATGTACTGCAATATCATTTGGGGTAATGATAACTACAAATCTTTCATAACCAAGATACACATGATCCAAAAAAGATTTGTTTGCATAGTTTTAGGAAAACATACCTTGATAATACATGCTCCATTATTCAAAGAACTTACCATATTCTCTCTAATATACGCCTTGTACAATCTAATGAATTCCCGCTGATATTATGATAAGTAATTCAGCGGTTTCGAGATTTCCATAATTCCGACACTGTCAGTGGTATCGCAAAATCGTGAAATCATGATACGACATGTGACTCAGGCTGATTGACCAATCAAAACACTGTCAGGTTTACCTGCATAAACGAAGCAAAATTCCTATTTACGACTTGAAATTTTCAATGATCTGATCTCGGTATCTGATCGAGTATTTCTTCAGACATTATGTCAGAGTTACAATATACATGTATTATGAATTTAAATGTACATTGGATGTAAACAATTAAATCATGCGATTCAATGTTGATTTAAAACTGAATTCACTATGAAAATGCACGAAGACCTAGTCCATGTAGTCGTGATTGATCTGAATCTCAGCCTAGATCTAGCTGTCATGTTCGATCATTTCAGCAAACTTTTCAACGTTTCTTGTTGAAATCTTCTCACCTCTGGGTATCCGATCGATGCTCCGACATCCACTTGGCTCTGGTTGATATTTATCTGATAAAATATTTGTATTTTCATGATGAATCTGTGCAAGATTTTTTCGTAAAAAGTGTACTTGTTTTGACAGTGCATAATAATAAGCTAACGCTGCAGGGCCGTCGTTAATTGGTCAAAGGAGTGGTATTGATATGGTGAACAAACATTTTGAAAATTTTACACATCATCAATTTAATGGTCATCTTTTGTATGTTAACATTATAATTTGAAATATATATATGTACTTTTCTCTATATTGTTTTAGAAAACACATCAGACACTTCTTTTGTTCTTGGTATCATATGTTCGGAATGAAAGGAAACATCTATCCGAACCTCATTGGAACAAAACGACAGAAACACAACGTGTTTACAGTAGGTCTCTCAATATTGTAATTGTACAAAGGAAAGTTTGGTTGATTTTAAAAAAGTATCTTGTTAATGATATAAAAGGTTTATCTTAATTTTTATCTTATTTGGGTGGTTTGTTTTAAGTTTTTGCATTCTTTTTGTAAAATCAACCAAAATTTCCTTTGTATAACTATAATATTGAGAATGTTCTACATACTATATGCTATTTTGTTCCAAAAAGGTTCGGAAAGACATTTTATTTCATTCTCAAGAATTGGTAGAAAGGAACAAAAAACAATTGCACTAAAAAACAAAAAATGTTAACAGAAACAGTTATATAAAATATATATAAATAATTTTTGCATTAAATTGTTGCCAATCTGTCAACATTACATAAAGGACCGTGTTTTTTTACATAATGTTTTCAATAATTGGTTTAAGAGAAAAAAATTGTTGAATTCAGTTCGCCATATCGATACCTATCCTTTACCAACATTGTGTTGGTAAGCACGTGACTTTCTCATTTGTACAAGGCGGTCATAATAAAAATCAAAATAAGTAAGAGACAGACTTAGGCAAGGCTAATAAGACCAAAAAGTAAACCAATTAAGCATAATGACTTCAGACATTTATTTTGTTTTCCATACATACACATTCTGTTTTTAATCCCTTTATACAGTGGAGACGATGGGTTCGATTGCCGTATTATCACTCTACTATACCTTGCATTTGATGTTCATGAGCAACCCATTTGGCTTATTAGTGATGATTATGTATTTGTTTTTATTTGTCTGTTCCTTATAAATGGTTTATCGGTTGAATAATAGATGTTAAATAAGGTACTTTCAAAAATATACTAAACAATTCAATTAGACAAACAAAGTATCTTATGCATTTCTAGGTGTTAGGTATAGTAGTGTGATTATATCGCATTTGAACGACGATACGGCATTTGCTGTATAGAATGCCAATATTTTTTTTAACAATGGTTATTTTTAAAAATCTTAACAATCCGGATTTCAAATTCGAATTAAATCATATAACATCCTTTTTTTTTTCTTTTTTTTTTTTTTTATTCTGTATAAAAAGTTGTACAAATACAATATTGTAGAAAGAAAACATACAGTAGTTGCATATGCTATAATATTGTATTTATATATAATATTAGCCTTATTTAGCATAGTAGTTTTGATAAAAAGAGGAAGGGAAGGGGGGGCAGGGGAAAAGGCAAGAGGGGGACTTTTTGTGATTTTCTGCTCGATGGTTTGAGCTTGGTGAGGTTTTTTTTATGTTCCCAGTGTGTATTTTACTACGTTATGAAATGTTTGAGTTTCAACCATTGCTGTTCCATAAGTTCAGGTTTTTTCTTCTTTGGCTGATGCTTTCTTCTATTTTTTTCTCTGTTTTTAGGAAGTTTTGCCAGCCTATCATATTAGGTCTCCTTATTTTCCTTTTACATGTGTTTAGGAATATCTTTTGTTTCAGGAATATATGTTCGTTTTCTGTTTTTCCATCTCCGAAAAGGAATTTCTCAATTGTGGCTATATCTTCGTCAAGTTGGTTGAAAGATGTTATTAGGAAGTCTTGTACGGCCTCACAATGGTATATTACATGTTCTAAAGTATCTATGTCACTACGGCATAGACTGCATATATCAGTGTTATAGCCATCTATGTTCATTTGTTTTAGTTGTTTGTTATAGTATAGTATCCGGAAGAATATTTTTATTTGGAAATATTTCTCTTTTGTCCTGAGAATATTTTTTTCTATTTTTGTGGATTTTAGCCCACATCAATGGATTTTGTAGTTGCAGTTTGTTTTGCCACTTATCTTCCATCTTCTTTGGCAGTTTCACAGCATTGTTCTTTTTTAGTAAAATCTTGTAAACTTCTTTATTGTTTGTCTTTTTTAACCATTCTGTGTTAATTGTGACATTCGGATTCTCGGTTTCTTTTTAGCTTCATTTTCTCTCGGGTGTCTTAATTTTCTTTTCCAATTTTGGGGGATGGCTGTAATTATACTGTTATATTTCAAAGTATTCCTTTGGTTCATAATAATATCATATTTATGGCCTAATTCTGCTGCTGTGAGGAATCGATTTTCGTCCTGTATGTCTTTTATAAATTCAATACCT